TGTTTCGAGTCGGATTGCGATTTGGTTTTGTTTTGGTTTGTTTCATTTGTTCTGGATGATGTCTTATTGGGCTGACCGTTGGACCTAACGTATGTGTTTGAGCTTTTTGGTCTCTTTTAGCTCTGCCTGTGTTCCCGACTGGTCCTCTCTCCAGTCCGTCCCATGCCGACTGGTCCATTTCCAGTCTTCTGCAGTCTGTGCACACCGGTAACATCGTTCCCCTTTCCTTCCCTCTTCTCCATTGAGGGCAATGTCGATCTTAAGTGTGGGGGGAATGTTTATCTTTTGACTGCATTAGCTCTGTTTGTGTGCTTGGAGCCTAGTCCACTGTCCAAATCTTACGATTTGAGGGCTCCAAGTACTGCTGTTTGATCATATTGGCACTGTGTTTTGATGGATGAATTGATTGGTTTTCGGATTAATGCATGACAACTTGTTTGCGACTAGGACAACCTATGATGAGGACTGAGATGTGCAGTAGAACGATGTAGGGGTTTAGTTTTTCAACTGTTTGCTTGGCAACTGTGACTTGATCTGACTTGATCTGATTACTTATCCTTGACAGTCGTTTATGCATCTAGTTTAGGGTATCAGAATGTGAGATAGAGCATATAGGTAGCCATGTGAGATTTGAGCCTGCTCGTTTCTTTCTTGTGCGATAGATCCCTCTTCCATGATGTGTAGCATTCACGTTGTCACTAGCTAAGATGATGGGGGCATAGGATTAGCCCACGCCCAAAACTGACTGTCCTGATGTGTCATATCCCCTAGTCAGCCCCTTTGAGCCGTGTGTTATCCTTTCTTTTGGTCTATAATGAAAAAATCACCCTTGTTGCATCTTTTAGAAGGTTCCACAGAGTGGTTTTATATATTCTCTGCTGTTTCTGCTAAAGTCTATGTGAGTGTTGGAGGTAGTGCTTAAAAATTGGGCAGGTGTTTGTAATTTATGCAGAAGTGGTGGTTCTCTTAAGAAATGAAAAGAAAAAAATGAAAGTAAAGAGAGCCACTACCAAAAATCTGAATAATGCCCAGTAAGCAGTGGTTCTTAGCAGTCTGGCTTGGAAATGCTGATGATTATGCCTCCTTCACTCTTGTGCTCTTAAGATGTTGAGTAATGCAGAATAGCAGAAAGGAAATACCGGGTTGTTTGACTGTGATTGTGTGTTTGGAAAATGTGGAACCTTTTTGCTATGAATACTTCCACCACCTAAAGGCCTTTTCCCCATGTCCAAGACCCTAGCCAGTCATTTGAACCTGTGTCTAAGACCTCCTGATTAGTTAGTGGTGACACCCCATATGTGAACTCTAGCATTTAGAGGCTGCCATCATGGTGAAGAGATGATAGGGATTGAGAGAAATAGCATGCGCATCTTTCGCATCAAAAAAATGTCCTGACCCCACTGGTCGAGAGTGAGCGATTCATTTCCATTTTCTATATGCTCTTGTACCCCGGTGAGGACCTAGATTGCTCGGTCTCTATTCTGATGTTTTGAGTTGGATGCATGAGTTGACTGTTTTGAGTAGGTAGTTGAATCAAGTCTAGGTTGGCTAGTGAACATACGAGAGACTCTTCCTTTACTCGATTTGCTGCATTCGAATGTCCTTTGTGGTGGTTGTCCAGGTTGTCATTGAGGTTGTGCATGTATTGATGTTTGAAAACCAGTGCGATTCACGTGTTTTGTGCCTTTATGACTTGTCCCCAGTGTTGGTTGATTGAAATATGTAAGCTTACCTAGTGTCTGACTTGGTTTGCTTGGGGACAAGCAAACGGTTAAGTGTGGGGGAGTTTGATAGACCGATAATCATACATGTTTTCACCCCTATTCTGAAGTCGTTTGTGATGAGGAATCTCGTATTTTAAGCCGATTTTACGCTAGGTTGTGTGTTTATGTCATATTTCAGGTCCTGGCGTTGGAATCGAGGCGAAGGAACGAGTTCTGGATCGAAAGGAGCGAAGATTGGACAAAGGATGCTGCTGGACCAAAATACCCGGTCAAAGGAAGAAATACCCGACCGGGTATATTCTGGCCTCGACCGGGTATTTCCTCCTTCGGGCACCCGTGAGAAGCAGAAGGGGGCCCGGGCGATGGCGATAAATCCCCGGTCGGGGATTTTGGTGGTAGACCGGGTATTTTTCCCTTAGTCAGACAGTGCGTTTCATAAAATACCCGGTCGAACCATAAAATACCCGACCGGGTATTTTGACCGGGTATCGCGACAGGCAGCTGATAAAACAGGAAGAATGCCAATTTTCAAAGGGTTCCGAGTTTTTGAGAGAGAAACCGATACCTAGAGAGAGAAAGCGACGAACCAGAGTTCTCAAGCGCCATAGATCGATCTTCAACACCATTGGAGCCCGTCTTGAGCTTGGAGAAGTGCGATTAAACGTCCAGAAGCAGGAATCCAACTTCACAGTATGATTTCCGTGTCTGAATCTGCTTTTGCTTCTTTCTCTATGGAGTAGTTTCCCCATTCATCTGGGTATGGAGAACCCTAGATTTGTATGCTAGGTCTGATTGTATGAACCCAAGTACAGTGTTTGTGAATTGATTATATTCGATTGAGGTTTGATTGATTGAATGACTTGAATCCTGATCAAATTCCTGTTGTTTCTGCTTTAACCTGGAATAAGAATATCTGCCTAGGTTGATAGAGTACCCTTAATCGAAGGTAGCGAATTGGTGACTTTAGTCGAGGAGCCAATTCGCTATTCTGTACCGAAGTCGATTCGGTAGTGGAGGTTTGGTTCATTAGGGCCTCAATCTGTTTACTCCGGTGGAGGTTAGTCGCCCGCTAGAGACTCAGATTGAGAGGGTCTGGAGACCTTTAGTCGAGACTTCAGGCTAATTGAGAACCTTTCGCAGTATAACTTTCATGAAAACTGAACTTGGTAAAATGCAATCCGACTTAACTGCAGTCTAGGGGGAAACCATATCCGGGTGACCTCTCTTGACTTGACAACAAACCGTTTACTTGCTTTCTGTTTTGTTTGCTTGAGTTTCACTAAAAGTTCACTGCTAAATAACAAGAATTCACCGAGTAGTCATCACATCTAGGACCCGGGTTGACATTAAAACCCGACCCGCTATACTACGCTTTAGGAATTGGTTATACTTGGCCATTTTCTAGGGTGACAGTAGGAGTGAGTCAACCAACCACCTCAGAATTGCCATGGCACCTCAAGGTACCACAAGATCTATCTCATGCATTATGCCATGATCCACCACCACTTCCCTATGAAGTCAACCAGCCACCTGAAAGTTGACTTGGCACCTCAAATAAAACTTTGTTGAGGTTCCATGATAATCCAACTTAGCTCTTAATCATCGAAGCCGCTTTTGTAATCAGCCTCACTCTTCAAAGGGAAAACACACTTCAAAACTGGATTATTTAGCATTAGGTGAACCACGTTGCGAGCCATCCCACTACCACCATAGTTTTGGAAGCACCATAAGAAACAGAAAGAGCCCACATTGGAAGGACTTGGCATAGCCAAAATGTACAATCTAAGTTCCCAATTCATGACAAAAGTAGCAATAGCAGTAAACAGAAGCAAAAATATGAAAACAGTAATGTTTCCCTTGGTAGCACTTGATTTGCATAGTACTGGAGAATCAAAGGCAATAACAAGTTCAAATGTATTTTATTTCATGACTTCATATAGCCGTCATTAGCCAAATGGTAGCTGTATCTCTTTCCAGCCTACAAACTCCAAAATTACCATATAACAACCTTAACAAACACCGCGTCTCAACCCATTCTCCCCACCAAATCCTGCATGAACAATAACCATGTATCAATGTTTATAGATTCACAGAAGCAAGCATAGCAACCAGCAGCATAGATCGCTAGTGGATAATAAGCAAACAAATAGAGTACAACAAATAAGTCTACTAGTCATACTATGGATGTCCAAGTTACCAGCACTAGCTGTTGGCAAACACGCACCTGCCACGTTGGATAGCAACCAACGAGTACATATAGGCTAACAAAAGCTCTTATCGGAAGAAATCATAGCCAATTCGAAGACTTCCTATAGTGGCTATGCGCTTCTACTTTGGTGTGGTACTCACCAAACAAGAGCACAATAAGATGAAACACAGAAATAACAAGATAAGAACAAACCCAAAAGAATCAGATAACCACCCAGAACAGAGAGAAAGGACCTCAGGATCCATGCTCAATCATAGTCAGGATTCCCTATTAATTCCTCTTGTTCAACAAAACGTGCAAAACACAACACAAATTCAGAGGACCGTGGAATATATTTATCTCTCAAAATGGCGCCTGACTTAAGTGCACAACAAATTCAGCGACTTCTTCAGGGTTTCACATCACAGGCATAAATTCCAAACGACATCTCTCTGTAGTAAGTAAACATAAACAAGCAGACAACCATGGACACAATGATCCATTTTTCCTTCTCAACTCTATCACCAACTAGAGTTATGAGATGTCCCAATATTCAGTCAAAAGAACCCAGCTCTAAAGATTCAAAGTTTAGATAATGAAAGGAAACACGAAAAATGGAGATAATTTGCGCGCACACACATAAGACCACATTCTCAAACATCGGAGAATCATACAACAGACATCACTTACCAAGGGGAAAAGATAGATGAGCATTTGCTGATCCCCAATTAGCATTAACAAACTACTGAATTCCCCAATTCAAGATGAACAAACTCCCGAGGTATAATAGTAGGCAGTAGCCCGATTGAATCAATCAAGTACACTAATTGAGCAGTAAAATCAGACCATATTTCATTGATGTACAATTCACGATCTAAAGGGTAAATCAAATCTCGCCCAGATACATAAACAACAACCACCAAAAGACTACCGCACCGATTGCTTTCATGCAAATGATTCGCGGACAAACAGAACATATATACTAATCCAACTCATGAATATTGCCAACGAATGCCCACCATCTTTCACGGGAAAACAAAAAGAACGAATAGCACACAACCTGAATTGCAGAAAATCGAAGGAAAAGATCAGTGACCGCCGTGCTCTTTGGCATGCTGCTGGTGCTCCAAATGGCGGCGCTCTTCCGGGAGGGCGACAAGATAAGAGAAGATCATCCCGCCGAAGCAGACGTGGTATAGCGGGTCGATGGAGCTGGTCTGGATGTACTTGGCGTGGTAATTGTCCAATCCTTTCTGCACAGATTTCTTCACGAAATCGAGGGAGAGCATCGGCTTCACGTGGTCAGGGACCTCCTTCACCTTCAGCCCCTTAATCTCGTTATAGAACCTCCTCATCGCCATTTTTTTCTCTCTTCCGATCGGAACTGTTCGCGAGAACCCTAAGCACCGGACTCGATTTCGGATTGGGAGAATTTGGGGGAAATGCGGGAATTGGGATCGGAGACGTGCAGCTAAGCGTGTCTGTAGAAGTGGACGGGCTTATATTGTGACTCGACGACTTGGTGATGGGTCCTTCGGCCCATCGCGTATTGTGAACTTATGTTATAACTTACTGGCACAGGAGAAAATTTTGTGAGGAATATGATATATAATAATTGATATAATAGATGATTTGAAATGCATTAAATTATTTTTTCTATTTTAATTATGTTCATAATATTTTTTAAATTAATTTTATGCATAATGTGTTTAGACCTCAATGAAAAGCGAAAAAATATGATATAAATACTATATTGAATAAAAGAGAAATAAATATAACTAATTGTCATTCATTACTTAATTAAACCATATAGTTGAATATTAAAGTTACTTCTCATAATACATATAAATCAACCTTTTTTTAAGAAACAAATCAACCTCTATGAAAGAAAATGTCTCTGATAAAGTTTAGTATGTCCCGCATATTCTCATAATCGCTAACTGACTTGTGCTTTTTGCAGTAGATAGTTCAAAATGTGCCTTAAAACTTTTGTTTCCACCAGAGTAAAAGAATTGTTTGAACCAAAGGATTGTAAAATCGTATCGAAAAAGTTGATAATAAAGTATATTATATTGAAGTCATAATTTAACCGTGGTTAAATCGTTTCGTGTTGCTAAATATCACTTATCGATTTAGCCTATGGTATGATGCTTTATGGTCGAACTACCGGCACGTGAGATCTTTCAATTCAAACTTTAAATAAAAAACCACAAAAATATTGACATTATCAAATACCCTTTAAATCTAAGAAATTAGTATAATCGTATTCAGGAAAAATTCATCCAAACGATAATATTGATTTTAGATTTTAGATTGATATGGAAAAAAATCTGTCAACTATAATGTCATTTCCTTAAATAAATCAAAACTCAATAGAAGACGGTCAAGAAGACCCACTAAACAAAGCAAAAGGGCAATTATTACACAATACCTCATTTCCCCATCTTTTAAATGTGTCCTCTCGCTCTCTCTTTGTCTTCCTCTTCAAAATGAGATTCTAACACTGAATGGGAGATTGTGTATTCTGAATTTAGATGAATTGCAGAAAGAGATCCTTGAAGAAGCTTATTCCTCCTCTTATACGACCCTTCCAGGAACGACAAAGATCTACCGTTCATTGTGTCAAATAAGCAAACTGAATAATACGAACACACGGATTTAACGTGGTATCCCTGAAGCTTAGGACTAATCCACGGGAGAGTCTCTGCTCTCCAAAAGGGTTTCACTATAATCACCAAAACTCCTTAACCAAGTACAGAGGGTTCGGCTATATATGTATATATATGAGGAAACACGCATAAAGAACAATTACATAGACATACATGGCATTGGATAATTACAAGTTGGTACCTAACCCAATAAACTTCAATACCCTCCCTCAAATTGATGTGCGGTGCGCAACATCAATTTGGACGACAGATACCAATGCCTACTTGAAGCAACAGCCTTTGTCAACAGATCTGCAGTTTGATCTTTTGTAGAGAGGTACCCAACTTGTATCTTTCCTTCTGCCACTAACTGTCTAATGTAATGAACATGAACTTCAATGTGCTTTGTCCTGTCATGTAGAACAGGATTGATCGCGATCTGAATCGCACTTGTGTTGTCCCCATATATACGCATTGGAACTGGACACTCAACACCCAACTCGCCTAGTAGCCGAAATAGCCAAACCAACTATGAACTTACCTCTTACATGGACCGATACTCTGCTTCTGTAGAAGATTTAGACACTCTATCTTGTTTGCGACATCTCCAACTCACAAAAGATTGTCCGAATCGAACACACCAGCCCGATGTTGACCTCCGAGTATCTATACACCCTGCATAGTCTGAATCTGCAAATGCCTCAATCTTGGGATCATCTTTCGCCGGAAAGAATAACCCAACATCTTGTGTCTGTTTCAAATAACGCAGAAGTCTGTGAACAACAGCTAAATGCAGATTAGTAGCCACACCCATATACTGACTTACCACCTGTACGACATACGAAGTGCCAGGTCTAGTGTGAGTCAGGTAAATGAGACTTCCTACTAAACTGCGATAAACAGACTGATCTTCCATCACTTCCCCCCCTTCGCGGCTGAGTTTAAGATTTTGCTCCATCAGAGTAGAGCACGGTACACAATCAGCAAACTAAGAGGACTCCAGCAAATCCAGAATGTATTGCGTTGAGACACAAAAAGACCATGCGACGAGCGGTGCACCTCCAAGCCAAGGAAATACGAGACCTCGCCCACCTCTTTGAGGTTGAACGCACACAGCAAGGCTTTAGTCAACTCTCGGATCCCTTCTGCATCGCTGCCCGTAACAATCATGTCGTCAACATAAATCAGAAGGACCACAATACCATCAATCGTACGACGAGTGAAGAGAGACAGATCGTTCTGACTTTGAGTAAACCCAGCCTGAAGTATCGTCCCATGAAACTTCTCAAACCAGACACGAGGTGCCTGCTTCAAACCATATAATGACCTGTTCAATTTACAAACCATCGTAGAATCGCCCTTCTCATAGCCAGGAGGTCGCTCCATATACACAGTCTCCTTCAGATCACCGTGAAGAAAAGCATTCTTGACGTCGAGTTGAAGGAGAGGCCAACTCTTCATGGCCGCCACAGCAAAGACACACCGGATTGTCTGCATTTTGACAACAAGAGCAAAAGTCTCCTCATAATCAATACCGTATTCCTGTTTGAACCATTGAGCAACAACTCGAGCCTTAAACCATTCAATCTCGCCATCAAGAGCATTTTCACATTATAAACCCATCGACTACCAATGACTGCCATCCCGTCTTCACGAGGGACAAGATCCCACGTTCTGTTCTCCTCAAGCGCATCCATTTCGACGTGCATTGCCGCATTCCACCTCGGATCCAAAACTGCTTGAGAGTAGCAGGTGGGAATAATGATGGGGGAAGTAGAAAAACCTACGAAGTCTTGCATACGAAGGGGTGGTTGTCCCAACGTGGAACGTGTCGACCGCCGTAAGGGAACCATCGGGGGTGTGGGAGGGTGGGAATCATTACCATCACTGGTCGAAGCCGAGCTGAAGAGCCTCCCCGATGAGGATGACGAGGACGAGCCCGCAGACTCGGATGAAGAGGGCGAGCTACTGGACGAAAGGGAGAGCTGTGAAACCCCAGGGGAAAGTGACCCTTCATCATCTTGGGATCCTAAAGTACTGGTCGTGGTTTGAGGAGATGGAGCTCCTAAGTGGGGTGTCTCAAAATCCGGCAGAGAAATGAGAAAGTCCAATGAAGTAGTTGTGCTTGCTTCGACATGAGTGGAAGAGTAATACATGTCCGTTTCCACAAATTTTACATGATACCCGATCCGCATACGACGACCAACTGGATCATAACACATGTAGCCTTTGTGTTTGTCACTGTATCCGAAAAACACACAATGAGTCACCTTGGGAGCTAACTTGTGCCTTTCTTTCTTTGGTAACAGGACATAACACGTACAACCAAAACCCCGAAGGAATGAATAGTCTGGCAGCCTGGAATACATAACCTGATACAGAGATTTCTGTCCTAGAAGAGGTGTGATCTAACGGTTGATCAAATAAACAATCGAGTGCACTGCTTCCACCCAAAAGCCTGTCGGAATACGGGAGTGGAAAAGAATAGCACGGGTAAGATCTAAAACATGATGATGTTTACGCTCAACCACACCATTCTGCTGAGAAACGCCAGGACATGACTGTTGTGTGAGAATACCAGCCGACTTGAAGAACAGAAGGAGATCATTAGAGACAAATTCTCCCCCAGGATCGGATCTGAAAATCTTAATTGTCTTCCCAAACTGAGTACGAATCATCTGAATAAACTCTCTTGCCACTGTTTCAAGTTCCGATTTTCGTTTAAGAAAATAGACCCACGTATATCTGGTAGTGTGATCAACAAACAAAGCAAAATATCTGAAACCCAGCCGAGAAGTGACCGGGGAGGGACCCCAAAGATCTGTGTGAACCATATCAAAAGGATTTTCATAAACCGTGTCACTATCAGACAAGGTAGCCTGCGATAACTTTGCTTCCACACAACTCACACAATCTGAAACACCATCTAACTTCGACAAATTCAAAGAATCTGGTAACAAATTTTGCCGAACATAGTTTTAAGCCTACCCGAATGCGGGTGTCCCAACCGACGATGCCATAATTCCCACAAAGAGTTGCCAACTGAAATATGTGAACTGTAAGCAGAAGATCCAACATAATCAACTAAACAATTATTCTGTAAACTCAAATTTCCACAAGAAGACCCATTTCCAACCCGTACATGATGATCAACATGATCCTCCACCCCATCAAACTTTACGGCTTCCCCGCATGCATTATTCCCCTCTTGTGCGCTATTTGCCGCCAAAGCCAGCCCAGGTGTGCAACCACTCTCCATGCATGCACGTGAGACACCAAGGCCATGCAAATCATCAAGTACGTACATGCGTCCCTCCTTACTTCCCCGTCCGATCACCCTCCCCGTCGTCCGGTCCTGCACAACACAACCAGTGGAATCAAAGAAGACATCACAACCTTCATCCGCCAATTGCCCCACTGAGATTAAATTAGGACCGAGCTGAGGAACTTAGAGAGTGTGGGGAAGAGTGATCGATCCTGAACGAGCTGTACCCGACCCCTGAACAGGGATAGTATCCCCATTGGCCACTTGTAGGCGCATAGAATCGACAGGATGCAAGTTCTCAAAAGCAGTACGATGGCGCGTCATGTGATTAAATGCAGCAGAGTCTATGAGCCAACGAAGAGACTTACCCGGGTGAACAGTGGTAGCGAACGCCGAGGATAATGCCTCCTGAAGAGCATCATGAACAAGTTTACGGATTTGTTCAGGA